TAAAAAATAACAGTGACACCATTCCCCTATTTACCAAGCCTGTGTTCAGTTTAGGTGAGTTGCCGCACCAGGGTTTGCATAAGGGAAGGGTGGCTAGAAAGGAAGTGAGGAGGCCTGGAGAAGACAGGGATGGATTTCTGTGTATTAGAGGGGCTCGCGGAGGTGGAGGGAGATGAAGTGTGCCCTGGGGAGCAAGAAGATGCTGGGGTCTGGTTGAGTGGGTACATCTCTGAGTCATATTCCTGGAAATGCTTTTGAAATGGAGAGTTCCAGGAAACACAGAGGAGGGGCAGACAGGGAACTTACGGGAGCCAACCAAGTGAGGTTGGACTGAACAGGGGGAAATAGGAGGATCCCGGGAAGGGGTCAGGGTCGCGTGCACCACTCTTTGAGTTCTTTCCAGAATCTACCCTGTGCAGCCTCTTTCCCTGCTACCTGGTAGGCAAACCCTCCAAAGCAGGGCTACCTGCATTCACCGTCTGGGGGGAGGCTATACAAACATGAAAATACAGAGTTTAGCCCCACTTTGGCTGAGGATCTTCCAGGGTGAGTATCACAGAAAGTGTATGCTGGTGATTACTGAGAGAGACAGACAGACAGACAGATACACACAGATACACACACACAGAGGGAAACTGAGAAGAGCTAAGAGGAGGGGGAAGGGAGGGGAGGGGAAGGTAAGGGAGAGACAGAGCCAGTGAATGTGAGAGATTCCAAAGGCATCTCTTTTTTCTCCAAAGAAAAGAGACACCATGCTAAGAATTGTCAATTACCCTCATGAGAAGACCTTTTCCAGCCTCCTCACTGGCCTCCCCTCCCAGCCCTTAGCCCCTACCCATCCTGCCTGCACCCGCCCCCCCAACTTATTTCCTAATTATCAGCTTCAGATGAGTGTGCCTTCAAGTTACTCAGGGAAAGAGAAATGAGTTCACTAATCTTACGGTCACCTTCCAAGAGGCCTATATGTCTCCTAAGGAGCAAGTTGATGCAATTTACACTATCTCTCTTCTCTCTGCCCTCATCGCTAAATTGTTGTATTTTTCATTTTCGTGTATCCTGAGCCTTCGAATCCATAGTAAGTAGGAGTTCAGAGTCCCAGAGGAATGAAGAGCCACTGATGTGCATACAATCGTGGTTTTTCCATTTTGCAGTAACAGAGAGGTTTTATAACAGATGCAAAGCCTTGTTTGAAGAAAAATGTGGGAGAACCCCAGAATTCTCCAAGCTCTTTTAGGAGTTTCTTTGGAAAATAAACAGAACTAAAGCAATTAAGATTTGAGTTAAGACATGGGAAGGAGGATGGAATGTGCTTATGAATCACACAATGGAGTGAGTGTTCCCTTCTGTGAATACCTGATTACCGAAAACCTATCAATAAATCACGAACAGGAATGCATTTTGTTTCAGTTCTTAGAAATCTGCAGGAAGTTCCTTTTGGCTCTAGATGCTAAGAGATGTTGCTGTATCTGGGGAATTTAACTGAGAGTCTGGAGCCAAGTTTGGGATGGATGGGAATGAGGGCTGGGAGGCTGATAGGGTTCTGACTTGCTCGTGGTCACGCTGGACCCCACCAGCCAAAGCCCACCTGTGGCCGAACCCAATTTGATGGTACCTTTGACAGCAGCGTGGATCCCATACACCGTGGGGAGGCTGGGAGGTGGGGTGTCTCAGTGAGAGGGTGTGGGAGTAGTTTATAGGATTTCAGTTTGTGTTGGGGGTCTGGGAGAGGGTCTAAGAAGGAAAGGTTGCTCTGGATGAATGCTGTTGGAAACCAGGCCACTGTTGTGTGATCGGATATTCTACTTTTTATTAGGAAGTAGAACAGAGCAGGTTAAAACTCTAATTGGTAAAGCAGCAGCTAGCTGAGACAGGGATGTGTGGTCATTTCTGTGGTTTGCATGTGCTCTTGTGTCTTTGCGCTTCAACCTGGTTACACAGGAGACATGTTTTGACTCCATCACAATCGCGGAATGGGCTTGTCTGACGGTGACAGCCGCCGTCATACCTGCTTTTTGCTTTCTCAGTCAGAGACCACATTCTTCTTCTGATCTCAAGGTGTTCGGGGTTTTATAACCTTGAGAATCCCTAAAAAGGTTATTTATTTATGTAATCGCTACACCCAACATGGGGCCAGAACTCAACCTCAAGATCAAGAGTCGTATGCTCCTCCAACTGAGCCAGCCAGGCACCCTGAACCCCTTCCAATTTTGAACAACTTGGAATCCTATTTCTAGATTCTGGACTGGGATGACTTTTGACTGGAAGTCATCTTACAAGGCATGGAATCCAAGCACATCTAAGGTTTAAATGCTTATTAAAGGCACAAACACCTGACAAGCAGCCTGATGTAGTGTAACAGGAATCAAACTCATCCTTCTTCCCTGTGTGCCCCCCACCCCATTTCATTTCCAAAATAAAAATGCTGTCCAAATGAGAAGCCTCAGACATGTGATGACCACTGAGCATGTAAGGGAGACGAAAAAAAACAAAAACAAAAACAGAAATTTTGATGATGAAAGGTAGCAGAACAGGCCACCCCAAATACGCCGCTTTGTCATAGAAATTATTTTGAGTTGAAGGTAATTTAGAAGCAGCCAAAGCAGTTAGAGGCAAAGACTTAAGTAGAATTTTAGTTCTGAATGCTGTAGGGGAAATGCATTTTCTTTGGAATTATCCATTATGTGCATTTAAACTCTGCCAGAAAAAAAAAAAATTGTTTTAATCTACTTTTTGTATTTAGTAGTTATTTGTGTAAATTAAAGCTTTTCAAGTTAGATGAAAAAAAAAGGCACCTGGGTGGCTCAGTTGGTTAAGTGTCTGCCTTTGGCTCAGGTCATGATCCCACAGTCCTAGGATCGAGTCGCACATCAGTCTCCTTGCTCCCCTCTACCCCTCCCCACTCGTGCTCTCTCTCTCAAAAATAAATAAAACCTTAAAAAGAAAGAAAGAAAAAAGAAAAGCAGCAAACACAGGAAGAGCTCTTTACCTTCCCCCCTTTTTGCCTAAAGGCTGGATATAAATTCTTTTACTGGAGGACTGACATTTACCAGTCCAGAGAGGAACCAGAAGAATCTACAGACTTCTCCATAACTTCCCTCCCTTCTGTTTACCTTCCCTTGGGGCCTAAATTTGCTTTCCTTTGTCCTGTCATCTCTCTGCAAATTTATTGTACTTTATTGAAGATGGTAAATAAGTTGGAATTCTAAGCTGCCATTCAGACTTACTTTTCATGTGCACTGCTTGCATTAACTGTTTTTCTCTTGTTAATCTTTTTGTTAGAGTCCTAGCTGAACACCCAAGATGGGGAGGGGTAAAGTTTGGCTTCCCCTACAATGATCTAGGGAGAAAGGGCAGGGGGCCCCCACGACGTGCCCCTCTGTCATACTGATTATCTTAATTAAGTTACTTACAAAACCACGAGTTCAAGGACACTCACACCCTCCTCCGTTCCACTAAAAGTAGGAAGCAAATCTCCCATATGAAAAATACCCTCCCTGTACTCAGTAAAAAGGCACCCACATCACCAGAGACTGGGGACTGGAGAGATCCAAAAAAGAGGACCGGGGGGACTGTTCTCGACCCCAGGGCTCTTTGGCTCTCAGCAAAAACAGACATTGACGCGAGGCAAGGAAAGATTGAGGCCGTGTTTATTGGGGGCTTATGCTCCGGTACCAGGCAGGGAGCGCCGGGAACAAAGGCCCGGAAAGTTTGAAGGGGCTGAGGCGGGAAAGCAGGGACCTCCTAGCTGGGACGGGGCGGGAGGGGAGGGGGCGGCGACACGGGACGCTGCGCGCAGGCGCAGTGGACAACACGCGTCCGCAGGCAGCACGTGACTCATTAGCATGTCAAGTCTCCGCCCCCGGCCGCCGCCGTCAGGATTGTGGCGAGGAGAGTGGGTGAAGGGTCAGCGCTGGGGTCCCCCGCGGCACAGGCTGGTTTAGTCCGGTTTCTCCTGCAGAGTTCCTTCCGGCAAACATCCCGCTTCCGCATCCCCGAGATCGACTGCGATATACTGCTCAAAAACGTGTGGTTCAGCCTCTTCTAAGGCGATGGGCACAGAGCAACGGAGCTTTGTGGGCTGGAGCCGGGGGGGGGGGGGGGGTCCCAGACACAGCCTCTGTTCTAGCTCAGCCCCCCTGAGAGATTTTACCCTCCTTACTCCTAAGGAGGAGGGGCCGAGGGTCTCATCTTCTGAAACTGCTTCCTGCTGAGCGGGGCGTTGTCCCTGTCCTACCCTGGAGGAGTAAAATCTCTCGCGGACTGCTCTAACGCCCTATAGGGACCTTGTTCCTCTTGGGACCCGGTAGGTGGGACCCTTGTGCCACCAGCAGTTTGACACAAACTTAACCAAAAGATTAAAGAGGCAGGGTCTGAATATCAACAAAGGAATGATGGCCACAAGAGGGCCCAGGAAGGGAGGAATCACACAGCGCTAGGCACAGAGCCTCTACTTGAGTCCCAGAGTTTGGGCATTGTGATTATTGAACCCACGCGACCATCTGGTTCGTCTGTAAGGCTCCTGAATATTTAGCTCCACTTCCCCAGAGTTGTTGATGTATGTACAGCAAGTGTTGTTGACCACTGCACAGACACCCCCTTGTTTGGCCAGAAGATAATCTAGAGCTAAGCGATTGTCAAGTACGACATTAGCCAAGGAATCCGGGCACTCCTGGAGGCCCTCCAAGCTGTCACCAGTGTTTGTAGCCAGGTTTTCTATGACCTGGGTAAGGTTTTTTAAGGTTGTTTCATGATAAGCAAAGCCCCCCCAGGGGGCAGCCAGTCCTACGGCTTCTCCAGTTGTTGCCAAGATGAGCCCGAGTGCTCTCTTTCGTCTGGTTTGAGCGGTGACGTTATATATCGTGGCACCTAATCCTTTAGGACCCAATCGTCCCAGAGTGCATTCTCCCCGGAAGTGAACATTATCTACACATGAATAGGCCACCGCCCGAAGAGGCCAGGAGAAGGAGGAATTAGGGCTCCCTTCGTAGGGTAGTTTATTTTGTGGTGGACCGCAGAGAAAGAGATACCCAGGTGGGGTACAAGCTTGGCGGGGTGAAGAGGAATTAAACCAACTTCGTAAAAGGGGACCCCAGTTAGGTGTACTCTTGCATCTGGGGGACAGGGGCCCTCCGTCCAGTGGCCCCCCACCAAGCTCTGAATCCTCTTCTATTCCCTCCTGGCTATCGAAGGCAGATGGGGTCTGATAGGTCAGTCTCCAGGAAGGGGTTGCTGTTCCTTTCCAGTATGTACAGGATAAGTTAGGTTGGTCGTCTGGGGAGAGTAGAGACGAGTCCACACACCAGTGGGTCTGGTTGGGGCTACATGAAGAGCTTGAAGAGGAAAATGACATAGGATAAATGGAGGGCGAGCTTCCCATGTTGGTAAGGCAGGTATCTGTCCGGCAGGGGCAACAGGGCTGTCCTTGTTCTTGACAGAGAAGAGGCCGCTTAACTTGGAGACCAGTTTGGTTCCAAAAGTCTGTAAGTCTGACACACCTCATATCATCACGATCATCAAGTTCTACTACTAGAAGGGCTGTGCTTCTAACAGGACCAGAAGTCAAGGTGAGAGTAATATTCTCATTTATAGGTACAAACTGGAGCTTAGGAACCCCATCTTGTGGGTGAGGATGACAAATCCAACAATTAGAGAGATTATTTCCCGAGGCCACAATGCTAGAAAAGTTGACAATTGAGTTTTCTCTCCAGGTTCCCCCCCCTTTGTTATTTTCTTCCCAACTCATCCCCAGGAGAAGGGCCAAGAGAAGGATCCACTTCATCAGTCCCATCATTGGTTTTGACCTTCTAGACCCCGCAGGGGCAGAACGGGTCTTTCCCAGGGAGTGGAGGTGACCCGAAACAGTACTCACAGAGAAGAAAAAGTAAAACAAACGCAACAAAAAGCAAAGTCAGCAAGCCAAACCACCAAGGTATAATCACTTATCTGACTCTGAGGGTTGCTTCTTGAACAAGTATTTGAGGTCTTCCACAGGCTCACATGAGTAAGATGGTTCTGGGCCTTCCAGGTATTTCTGAGGATGTCCAGGAGAAAAAGGTTTTAGCCTGAAAAGATGTACCCGGCTAGGGATTCCCTGGAGCTTAACTGCTGTTGGGGTGGCTAAAATCACTCAATAGGGGCCTTTCCACTTGGGTAGCAACTGATCTTCCAGGGAGCCCTCCTTCCAAGGAGGTTTTAAGGAGGACCTGATCCCCTGGATTAATTTGCAGAGGTGGTGGGGCGGGGGCGGGGGAGTCTCTTCTAAATTACCTCTAGGGGGTGCTGGTAGCATGTGATTAACATAATCCACAACAGCTTTTTGCACCTGTCCCAAATAAAACGATGCAAGCTCTGGCTTATTTTCCCATCTAGTAAAATACCGGGGGTGAGGAGGCGCCTCCCATGTCATTTCAAATGGGCTGCATCTTAGGTTAGTCTTGGGGGCAGTGGCAATCCTGAGTAGTGTAATAGGAAGCAACTGGACCCAAGGCTCATGAACTTCTTGACAAAGTTTTGCTAAAGTCTTTTTTAGGGTATAAGTCATCTTTTCAATCTTCCCTGAGGAATGGGGGTGCCAGGGAGCATGCAATTTATAATTTATTCCCAGGGCCGCTGAAAGGCTCTGGGTGATTTTAGCTGTAAAAGGAGTCTCTCACTTTGGAGAGACTTAGAGACCCCGAACCGGGGAATTCTCTTTTAAGAGGGGATATACAGACCTCGGTTGCCTTCCCAGACCGGTGGGGAAGGCTTGTACCCATTTAGTAAAAGTATCGACAAACACGAGGTGGTATTTGTAGCCTGCTCGTGGTGCAGCAGGGTAGACTACTTGCCCATCTTCCCTGGGATATGGCCCCTGCTGTTGGACTGGTATAAGAAGTGGGGACTGATTGGATGGGTCTGTAGTTTGTTTTGGGTGCATTAAGTCACAGGCGAGGGTAACTTGTTTTATTGTCTAAGTCCCTATCCTGAAAAGACCTTTTGCACCAAGTCCCATTGGACGTCTCTTCCATAATGGGTGGCATCATGGAAATGTTGAATGAGCTTTTACTGCTGGGCTTCCAGAATGAGAATTTTGTCCTCTCTCATAAGCCACCCCGTGCTTTGTTCTGTATATCCCTGTCTCTTTGCGTCCTCCTGTTCCAGCAGGGGGTTCTGTGGCTGGCCGGGGAACTCATGGTGGTAATCTGAGCTGGCTCCTGAGCTCAGGTGGCCTGTTTAAACAGCTGATTGGGGGTGCCTGGGCGGCTCAGTCCCTTAGACGTCTGCCTTTGGCTCAGGTCATGATCCCACGGTCCTGGGATCAAGCCTGCCTCGGGTTCCCTGCTCAGCGGGGAGTCTGCTTCTCCCTCTCCCTGAGGCTCCCCATGCTTGTTCTCTCTGTCAAATTAATTAAATATTTAAAATAAATAAATAAACAGTTGATTGGTCAGCCTTATTACTTTCCTCGCTTACAGAGGTCCTATCTTTTTGACAACTTTCACAATGGACTACAGCCACCTGACTGGGAAGTTGCACTGTCTTTAGGAGGGTGAAAATTGGGTCCTAGTGTTTTATTGGTGAATTCGTAGTTGTTAACATTCCCCTTTCTTTCCAGACGGCAGCATGGGGCATATGGTACAGGGAACCCATATTTTGAATCAGTATAGAGACTTCATCTTTTTCCTTCTCCCAACTGTGAGGCCTTAATTAGGGCTATCAGTTCAGGCTTTCGGGTGGGCGGAGCGTTGAGGTGGAAGAGCTCAAGCCTCTAAGACTCTACCTAGGCTCATTATCATGGAGCCTGCCTTCCAGACACCTCCCTCCGCAAAACTTCTCCCGTCCCTAACCGACACCCTATCTGGATGGTCAAGGCATTTGTCTTGAAGGTCAGGTCTGGTAGAATATGTCTGTTCCATTGTCTCCACACCCTGATGCTGGAGACCCTTACCTTCTGCAGATGGGAGCAGGGTAGCAGGGTTTGGTCTGGCATACTTTTCAAATAACATCCGGGAATCTAGCAAGAGGGCCTGATACTTCGTTAGCCTTCCTCCAGTCAGCCAGTGGTGCCCTTTACTTTCTAATACTGTCTGAACCTGATGGGGAGTTACATGTTGACTCAGGGTCCGCTTAGAGGCCTCACTCACTAAGAGAGCTGGGCTATGCCAGCAACTGGATCCAGTTATTTTGAAAAATAGGCTACCAGTCTCTGATCAGGGCCCAGCTTTTGAGCTAGGACCCTCAAAGCAATCCCCTGCCTCTCACGGACATAGAGGTAAATTGTGCAGGGGCCCCACCCAACTCAGTTTTCAAGGCTTTAAAAAGGCCCACTAACATCAGTCTGTTGTAGGGGTCCCCTTCCCCCCCCCCTTCAAGGCCGATAAGGGGCTTCACCATTAGGCCATAATTAGGGAATCAGATGCAACAGGGCTCTGCCATATCCAGAAAGCCACAGAATCTGTGGCTTCTGGTTTGGGGAATGGGCAAGGCGCTGATGGTCCTCTTGGGATCCATGGCCCAGTGTCAGGATGAAGCCCAAATATTGGCCCTGTTGTTCTGATATGTGGGCTTTTGATGGGAGAACCCTATATCTTCTCTTAGTAGAAAATTTAAAGTTTTTACAGTATTCTGGTCAGAGGCCTGCTTGGTCAAACTGGCTATTAACCAATCATCAACATACTGTAAGAGGATCCCATGTCTCACTTTTAATTCCTGTAACTCTCTTGCCGGTACATTTCCAAATAGATGGGGGTGGTCTCTAAAGTCCAGGTGTACTAAGTAGTCCCTTGAGTACCAGGGGTTTTTCATTCAAAGACAAGTAAATACTGACTTTCCTCATGAAGGAATATGCAGAAAAAGGCATCCTTCAGGCCCGGGACAGTGGAAAACTGAGCACTGCCAGGAACCTGGGTAAGCAGAGCATACCGGTTGGGTGCTCTTGGGTGTATGGGAGCAACTCCTTTATTTACAGCCCTCAAATCCTGTGCAAAGCAAAATTCTCCTTTGGGCTTCCTCACTGGGAGGATTGGGGTATTACATGGGGATTGACAAGGTTTGATCAGTCCATACTTGAGAAATTTTGAAATTAATGGCTGGATTCCTCTGAAAGATTTACTTTTTATGGGATACTGTTTTTTCCAAGGACAGCGTGCACTGGGTTTTAACTTTATATGAAGGGGGAGACATTTTTTGCCTCACCCAGATATGAGTATCCCACACAGATGGATCTCCTTGGTTTTGTGTTCAGAGCAATATTTGAGGGCTCAAACCTGGGACCATCCAGTGGTGCCAGGGAGATGAGAGTGTGGGGGCAGGGGACACCCAGGTCGGGCTTAACCCACCAGAGGGTCCTCCAAGGACCCTGCAGGGGACCAACACCGGGGAGGTGAGAGTCAGGGGACAGGGGACACCCAGGTC